ATTTGAGATTCCTTCTGTAGTTCTCCAAAACTCTTGAATTCATTCCCTTGGGTCAGTGTGTGTATTGCTTTTATGCCCTTATCCTACCATTATCGAATCTAACATCAATAATTCCTGAAATAAAACTGGGACCGGGGCAGGCCAAGTCAGTATTTTGATGTCTCTCTTCATGTGATACTCAGTGTTTGTTTAATAATGTCTAGAGGACATTTTCATAAATGACTTCCATACTGATGAAGCCTCTTAGATGTGTGATCAAGACTTCAAAATATCCAGTGAGCTGGACAATTGAGAACCTTTACAAAGATTATACTGAATTAATATACTGAGTGATTCTTAGCATGTGAAATATTGTACCATACAGAATTATTCCACTTACTTAAATGTGAACTGATCCAAGCAGCAAACCATCTTACTATTTAATGACGAAAACGTGTGTGTGTGTGTGTGTGTGTGTGTGTGTGTGTGTGTGTGTTCATTCCATGTTTTTCTCCTGACTGACTGGGTCAATCCATGTGAAATTTGGCACAGTGGTAGAGGGTCATGGGAGGATGAGAATGAAAGGGGCGCGCTATAGCAACCAATTGAAATTGCAGACTTTGAATGGGCATATCAGTCGTAGAGACATGACATTTTGCACAGAGATGCCTCTCCTCATGAGGAACAAATTTGCCTCAAGAACCCATAACTTCCGGTTATACAGATTTTCTGCCATTTTTAATTATTTAAAAAACACTTAAAATCGATCTCTTCCTAGGAAGTTTGACTGATCTGCATGAAACTCTGTGAACATAATCTAGGGACCAATATCCAAAGTTCCCTCTTGGCAAAAGTTGGAAAACTTACTAAAACTGAGCTTCTATAAGGCAAAGAATATTGTGGAGGGCGTTGCTCATCACATAAAGGTGTAAAACATCTCAAGGGTTTCACCGATCAACACGCAACTTTGTAGGCATATGACCACACATAATCTGAGGGGACCCCTCCATTATTGACCCCATCAAACAAAATGGGGGCGCTAGAGAGCTAATTTCTTATCTAGGCCTAACCGCCATATTGATTTTTACTAAACTTGGTAGATACGTAGAACAGGACGCCTCAAGGTGACTGGAGAAATTTAACTCTAATTGACAACTGGGTGGTGCTATAAATGAAGAAAAATGCAGAAAAATGCTTAAAAATGGCTAAAATGCGATCAATTGCTGTGGCTCCCCCTGTGGCCAAATGTTGTTGTTTTCTTCTAATTTTTGGCATGACTAAGTCATGGTATGGTATGCTGTACATAATCATGGAAACTGTCAGTGTGTAATTCTGTCAGTCAGTCATTCTGTCTGTCCCTTGTTTTTCTACTCACTGACGTGGTCAATCTATGTGAAACTGCACATAGGCATTGAGGATTGGCATAGAAGGTGATAAAGCTACCAATGGGTATGGACTATTATTAGATGACAATCCGTAAAATCATGTCTCTCACTTTGACTACAAGATGACTCCTATCAGTGCTGAATCATTTCATCTTGCCCAATGAACAAGTTCTCCCTTCAGGCTTTCTGCCAGAAAGCCCTTTCTGACAAAAATCAACATTAATCCCTCAGCAGTTGAAGGCAAATTTAATGTGCTGAATTAAAATGTTGGTAACGTTTTATTTCAGAGTCCTGCTGAAAGTTTATAGAATATTTTTAACATTTCAACACAGTTCAACTGTTTCACTTTGTCTGTAGATACAGTCAGGTCCATAATTATTTGGACAATGATACAGTTGTCGTCATTTTGGCTCTGTACACCACCACAATGGGTTTTAAATGAAACAATGAATACCTGCTTAAAGTGCAGACTCTCAGCTTTCATTTAAGGCTTTTTTCAAAAATGTAGTATGAACCATGTAGGAATTACAACCATTTCTTCACACAGTCCCCCGACTTTAAGGGCTCATAAGTATTTGGACAAACTAACATAATCATCAATTAAACAGTCAGTTTTAATACTTGGTTGCAAATCCTTTACAGTCAATGACTGCCTGAAGTGTTGGACACATAGGCATCATCAGATGCTGGGTTTCTTCCCTGGTGATGCTCTGCCAGCCCTTTACTGCAGCCGTCTGCACTTCCTGCTTGTGTTTTGGGTGTTTTGCCCTCAGTTTTGGCTTCAGCAAGAGAAACGCATG